AAAGCCTCGAGGGCTATCTGCCTAAGGGGAGGGATGCCTTCGTGGAGGACTTTCTATAAGGAATTTGAAGTGTCGGAGCCCTATGGAAGACCGTCAACAGAGAGGAACACAGAAGTAAATAAATAAAGATATAAAATGACTATTAAAAGCATTAATAATTAAAAAATTAAATAGTTAATTATTACGAAAGTAATTATTATTTAATTAATGATTATTATTTAATTAAATAAAATTAATTATTATTATTAAAATAGTTAAATAATTAAAGATGAACGTAATTAAAAAATTAAAATTAAATATAAAATGTAAAGAGATAAATTAAAATTTAATAAGCGATTTGTAATATAATTTTATTGCAAAAAATAAAATTTTCGAGACGAAATTTCTACTAAAATTGTTGTTCGGTTACAAAAAAGAAGCGCCGGATCTTCTGATTTAGGGCTCCGGTGCGCTTCGACTAGAATTACGATTTATTCCAAAAACTAAAAAGTACCGGAATTTAAGCTCTGTTTGTGATCCTAACATAACCAAATTTCCGTTAGAAATTACTTCATGACGGCATCTCTTCTCTTAAGGAGACAGGCTTGCCGTAAATTATTACCCCAATGCAATCCAATCGCATTTCGTGGTTGCAGGCACACTGGAACTTTCATCTTTTGTGACAGCATTTAAATAAATCTACGGGTGGGCGGGAGAAAACACTGAAAACATCGCAAAAAAATAATCCAGCTACATAGGATCGCAAAGAATATCCAGAAAAAGAAAAAATATATATATATATATGAAAAAGATCTCTTCTACTGAATGAGAAAAATAAATGTAAAAAGGAAGAGTGCGTCTGGACTTGAACGACCACATACCAAACGGCTTCCCGCATACTAATCACAAGCAGAAAATAGTACCACAGCCGTAATACACAAAGCTTTACTACTTTCCTCCGTAAATAAACACCAAGATTCATTAAACTTCGCGAAACATTTCTCGCCGTGGCTCCTTTTCTCTGGCATATATCTGCCTCTTAATATGACCGTAAATCTATTAAACTGAGCGCGCCCTCTAATAAGCTTTTACTGTTTTACTTAGTAATAAAGGCACCCCCTATCTCGGCATCAATCTGAAAATGATCTGGGATCAAATCATTAGGTACCTCGTAAAGGGGATGGAAATTTTCCTTTTTGCACTTTTTTCCCTCTCGACAGGCTTTTCTGTTGGAACTTTTAGCCGCCAGACGCGCTAGAAAGAAGATTCTTCCCTTTTGTGTAACTAGCTTGCCTCCTAATGCCATTATTACCGGACTCAAATGTTGCCCTGCGGTGCACACTCGCGATGGGGGACGTGTCCACAATGCAGAAGATGAAGATCGGCGATTCAAAAGAGAAATTTCGAACAGTGTCTATTATATGCCAATATTACGCCTCCGATCTTTCTGTAATGAATAAGACCCAGGCTGAATATTTCTCTTGGTTAGTATATCCTGAATTTTTACGAGATGACATTCATTACAGATTCCAGCTATTTCATCGCACCTACTGACATTAGGTGATGAAAAGGATTTCCATTTGCACTTTATTACAGCCTGTTATGAGAGTTTTCTTCCTATAGTTAATATAATTATTTGAATACCTAAGCTTATATAGCATATCAGATGCCATCAATATTTTCGAAAATGTACCGGTAGGGGATTAGGAAGCTTAACATTATCTTCTCCTATAGAGATCTTGGACTGCATATATGCGAATATTTGTCAATAATTATTTTCCACTTTAGCAAAGTTCAGTTACCACGACTAATTCTCGTATATGCCATAAATTTACCATGACTGATTCTAGTATATGCCATAAAGTTACCACAACTGGATCAAGTACGTGCCATAAAATTATCACGAGTGATTCTAAGTATATGCCATAAAGTTTCCACAAACGTTTCTATTATATGCTATAAAGTATCCACAACAACTGTTTCTAGTATATGCCATAAATTTACTGCGACTGATTCTAGTACATGCCATAAAGTTACCACAACTAGTTCTAGTACATGCCATCAAGTTACCACAACTAGTTCTAGTACATGCCATCAAGTTACCACGACTGATTTTATTATCTGCCATAAAGTTACCACAGCTGGTTCTAGTATATGCCATAAAGTTACCACAACCGATTCTGGTATATGCCATAAATTTATCATGACTGTTTCTAGTACATGCCATAAAGTTACCACGATTGATTCTAGTATATGCCATAAAGTTACCACGACTGATTCTAGTATATGCCACGATTGATTTTAATATATGCCATAAGATTTCCACAACTGGTTTTAGTATATGGCATAAATTTACTACGACTGATTTTAGTACATACCATTACTTACTTACAAGTTACTTACAAGTTACCACAAGTGGTTCTAGTACATGCCATAAAGTTACCACGACTGATTCTAGTATATGCCATAAAGTTACCACGACTAATTCTAGTATATGCCATAAAGTTTCCATAATTAATTCTATGTGCCAAAGATGGTACCTGATGCTTTCAATGGCTGTGTACCTAGAGGATCATAATCAAACAATGCGTTAAACTACTGCAGTCTTTGTAATCCTTACAAAATTTCTAGACAATTATGAGAATAACTTGTAGTGGTTTATTTTAATTTCCTAATAGTTATTTTTGTTTTTGAACACGCTTTCCCTAACTCTCTTGTTTCCTACCTATGATTCCTACCAGAATGAGTTTTCAGGATCGCGTTTTCTGTAAATGAAGTAAAAACCAGTATGTAAGTTGAAGTCTCGGTCAGTTTAAAAGAACAGCTTAGAAGAGCCTAGTGCAGCGCTTCTGCCTTCTAGACACGGATCTTATTCCTGTTCGGCCGTATTGTTACGTGCCTGCTAGTATTCGTCAGTGATCTTTAGTAAAGCCAACTCTAATTATTTCTGCGCAGCTTTGGCTGGTTTTAGTTTAGTTAGCATTAGATTACTTTCTTACTTTCTACATTAAGTTAGTCCAAATACAGGCTTACTGTAGGCCCGAAATGGGGACATCTGTACATCTTCTTGAGTTGGAATAAAGGCTAATTTAAACCTTCTTTGGACAGTAGTATAAAAATGGGGGTTCTGCATCAGGTGGATCAGGGGGCGTGGTCAATGACATCACAGAGGGCGGAGCCAAAGGCAACGTCATCACACTAGGAGGCGTGGTTTCGAGTGGAGTTGAGTTGTTCGTAGACTGCTGGTTGAGTTGTAGACCTCCTGCTTTTCATTTAAAGTTAGTTTTTTTAAATTGGCAACGGGGATTTTTTGAGATATATGCTCATGGCGCCCTCTAGGGACGAAAAAAGAAAATAATCTATTTAGGAATTGCTCATGGCGTCCTCTAGGGACGAAAAAAGAAAATAATTATTTTAGAAGTTTCTTTTTTTTAAATGTTCTATGATTCAAAATATAGGATTGAACCCTGAAACAAAATATCTCACCAGCTGAGTAGTTTGAAGATTTTAACCACTAAGCTGACGGGATACATTCAGATTTAGGTAAAAAAGCCTATATAAGAAAATGGAATTTGAATCAGCTCATCAATTGCAATTATGCCTGCTCCAGGAGAAGCCACCGTTGCGGTGTGTTTATACACTGTTTTATGTGTTATTTTATCATCCATCTATATTTTTACAGAATTTCATAAAATTCCTATTGATTTTACGCTACGTCTTAACGACAGTGGGAACTTATCATTATCCATATGAAGAATAATTCAATAGGTTATGAATATGAATTTATCGTATCAGGATCCGGCTCATGTTGCAAGTTTTGGTGGTGTTGAAGCTTTACATCGTGCTGCAGGAGGTAAAGTTTCCAGGAAAGAGATTCAAACATGGTTAGAGGGAATAGATGCGTACACGCTTCACAAGCCAATTCGCCGAAAATTTCCAACGAATAGAGTAATCGTGTATTCTATAGATCAACAATGGCAAGCTGATTTAGTGGATGTTTCACATTTACGTGATCATAATGATGGTTATCGATATATATTAACCTGTATTGACATATTATCCAAATATGCATGGGCTATTCCTCTGAAACAAAAGAGAGGAGAAGATATTGTGAAAGCGTTTCAAAAAATAATGAGTCAACGTAAACCAAAATTCCTTCAAACGGATCAGGGCACCGAATTTAAAAATAAAGTGTTTATAAAATTTTTAAAAAGAAATCAAGTTAAACTTTTCAGTACATTCAATACTACTAAAGCATCCGTGGTGGAAAGGTTTAATCGCACTTTGAAAACAAAAATGTGGAAATACTTTACGACTCGAAATACATATAAATATGTAGATGTCTTGGACAAATTAATAGAAAGTTATAATGCTACTTTTCATTCAAGTATAAAGCGAGCTCCCATAGAAGTCAATTCAGAAAATGAGAGTGATGTATGGTTTACCTTGTATGAAAGATCATCCTTCTAACGTTTCTAAATGTATATTCGCTGTAGGAGATGTGGTACGTGTTTCCAAACTAAAGCTACTTTCGAAAAAGCTTAAACTAAAGCTTACTTTCGAAAAAGGCTATGGACGGAAGAACTATTTGTGGTGACAGAATGTGTTAAAAGACATCCAGCTGTGTATAGAATTAAAGATTTACTTGGAGACTCAGTAAAAGGAACGTTTTATGCACAAGAGTTGCAGAAAGTGAGACTGAAAGAGGAATATCGCATTGAAAAAATTTTAAAGAAACGTATACATAAAAATCAGACAGAATACTTTGTAAAATATCGCGGTTATCCCGACAAATTCAATCAATGGATTCCAGCTTCTAATTTACTCTCGATATAAAGTGTGAGAAAATACTGTATCCGAATCATTTATGAAAATGAGTTTCTACGTAACACTTCCGAGCGATAGCTCTATGAATTATTTCCCCGAAAATAAAATTTCACATTTTATAACACGTTTACCTGTTCCCATTGAATTAAAAGGTATGTGGGAAGTTGGTTTGGTTGAATTGCTATATATCCGCACACATGGCACAATGTGAATGCAGACAATAACTTAATTGGATTTGTTTTAGAGAAAGATGGTGAAATGTTAGGTCGTAGATTACCTCCAGGATGTTATGAAACAGTACCTGATATTTTAAAAGCTATTTATATTAAAGAACATCAAAACAAAATAATATTTAATTATAACCCAGTAACAAAACGAGTGAAAATCAAAGTGAAAAATAACGCTAAAGTGATTTTACATGATGGGTTAGCACAAATGTTAGGTTTTGAACCTATGGAAATTACATCTACAGATGATAGTTCCGAAACTGTTGTAGAAAGTCCTTTTGCAGCCGACCCCTGTGCACATTATCGTGTATTAATGATATATACGGATATTGTAGAACCTCAAATCGTAGGAGATGTTTTAGCTCCTCTTCTTCGAATTGTAAGAGTAACTGGTAGCGATGGAGAAGTGGTGAGTGCACTATTTGATAGACCTCATTATTTACCTGTGAATCGGAAAATGATAGACACTTTGGAAATCGATATAAGAACGCATATGGGAGCATTTACGCCATTTGAACGAGGAAGGTCATACGTGAAACTTCATTTCCGTCAAAAATACTTGTCATAATGTATGTACCTTATCAGTGTTGTCAAAAATCTTTTGAAGATTATTATGTACAACAAACAGGACATGGATTGAATTATTATCAAGGTAATCTTTATCAGAGAGGATACGGATTAGGGGGTCTATTCAGATCCTTCTTTCGCGCTGCTGCCGTACCTCTTATTAAATCAGGAGCCAAAGCAATTGGAAAACAAGTATGGCATAGTGGACTGAATTTGTTAAATGATGTATCACAAGGACAAGATGTAAAAGAGGCTGCTAAGCGTCGACTGAAAGAAGCCGGAAATATATTAACGGATAAAGCTGCTACTAAAGTGAAGAACATGATTGGTTCTGGACGAGTCAATAAAAAGCAGAAACGTAGGAAAAAGCGTACCATTTCTCACCGATCAAAGAAGGTGAAAGCACAGGATATTTTCTCTTAAAAAAAAAGTATGACTTCGTATATTCATCGAGACTCTCCCGTTTGCGTCAAATCTGAATTAGATTTATTTACCATTCCTCCTACGCAAACAGCTATAGAAAAAGGACAGTTTGTGGAATATCACCCTCTCGCAAATATACGAGATGGAGGACCTATCGAATTTAATATTTCTGGCAGTGGTGAAGACTATATTGATCTAGCTGCTTCTTATATACACGTGAAAGTTAAAGTAGTTAAGGCAGACGGATCCAATCTAACAGACAAAGAACCGGTTGCCCCTGTAAATTTATTTTTACATTCTCTCTTTTCGCAAGTAGATGTAAGTTTAAATGAAAGAAACATTTCATCTGCGACAAATACCTATCCTTATAGAGCCTTCATCGAAACATTATTGAATTATGGGGAAGATGCAAAGAAAAGTTTACTCACCTGCGAAGGATTTTTCCAAGACACTTCACCTAATAAAATAGATGTCTTAGCTCAAGATGCGGATGCTGGACTAAAAGCTCGCGGTGAACTTATAAAAAACAGTCAAAGTGTGGATTTGATAGGACAATTACATTGTGACATTTTTCAACAAAATCGACTCATGTTAAATTTAGTTGATGTGAAAATTAAAATGGTGCGTAGTAAATCTGCTTTCTGTCTAGTTTCTACTCTACTGAGAAAGATGCCGATTATAAAGTGATCTTGGATCATGCTTCTTTGTTTATCAGAAAAGTAAAAGTAAACCCTGGAGTCTCTCTCGGACATGTAAAAGCGTTGGAAAAAAGTTCTGCTAAATACCCTATAGATCGAGTATTATGCAAAACATATTCAGTATCTAAGGGAAGTTGGTCTTTTATGCAAGATAATGTATTTTTAGGATTGATGCCCAAGCGAGTCATTATTACTTGTGTAGAAAATGCTGCAATGAATGGACAATATTCAATGAATCCTTTTCTGTTTGCCCATCATCATGTCAACTTTATATCGATTTATGTAGATGGACAACCCGTTCCATGTAAACCAATGGACCTTGATTTCGAATCTAATCATTATGTGCGTGCTTACCACAGTTTATTTTCTGGATTTAATCGCGACAAAGGCATCTATTTATCTCGAGAAGAATTTGTGAAAGGACATGTGTTATATGCTTTCGATTTAACTCCAGATATGTGTGATGGATCTCATTTTAACTTACAGCATCAAGGCAATTTGCGAGTAGAAATTAAATTTGCTAAAGCTCTCTCTGTGACTCTCTCGGTGCTAGTCTATGCAGAATTTCAAAACGTGATTGAAATAACAAAATCTCGTCATGTACTATGCGATTTTGCTAATTAAGCAATGGACAGCCTTGAAATAAACAGAGCACTCTCTCAGAATGCAAAGACACGAAAAGCATTTCTGGGAGTTTTTGCAAGTGATCGACTCCCTATCGAGATCAAGAAATATCCAAGTTGCTTTATAGCTAATGTAGATCGTGCATCTGAATCCGGTAGTCACTGGTTAGCCTTTTACATTTCATCCCCACAGCATTTAGAATTTTTCGATTCCTATGGACATGACCCATCCTATTTTCCTGGACCGATAGCCAAGTATGCAGAACGATTTCCACAGATGGACTTTAATTCGATGACTCTCCAAACTAATGTAACAGCAGTATGTGGTCAATATTGCATATACTATTTACATTGTAAATGTCGTGGACAATCTCTCAATGATATATTGTTATCTTTCATACCTCAACATATATCTAATGATATTAAAGTATATAATTTTGTAATCAAGAAATTTCATGTAAGATCTTCTTTCTATCAATAAATACATTTAAACTTTATACATTATGTGTCTTGTCTCATTTAATATGGAATTTCCAAAGCTACAACATCCTTTCACAATGGTGATTTCGGGACCCACTGGATGTGGGAAAACCTATTTTGTACGAGAACTGTTAAAGTATAAAGAGGAAATGTTTTCAACGATTCCCGATAAAGTAGTATGGTGTTATGGAATTTACCAACCTCTGTATAATGATATACCGAATGTTACTTTTGTCGAAGGTTTACCAATTAAATATCAAGAATATTTAGGTTCCAACACATTATTCATCATAGACGATTTGATGAGCGAATGTGGGAATGATAAACGTCTGACTAACTTATTTACAAAAGGAAGTCATCATTTAAATTTAAGCGTTATTTTTATCACACAAAACTTTTTTCACAAGGGAAAAGAAATGCGTGAAGTGACTTTAAATGCACACTATTTGATTTTGTGTAAAAACAGAAGAGATGTCAGTCAAATCGTACATTTAGGAAAACAGCTCTTTCCGCGTCATTTAAAGTTTTTTCAAGAAGTATATGAAGATGCAACCAAGAAACCTTTTTCTTATTTATTCATTGATCTGCGCAGTGAAACTCCGGAGTCCGGAAGAATTACGTTTACGCACCCAAATTTTACCTAACCAAGTACAGTATGTTTATCAAATGAAACATTATTAAAAAATAATAAAAACAACAGCTTTATAAAATGCATCATCATTTTATAAAATGACGCTGGTCAAGAAACAGCTAAGACAGTTACAGCTGTTAAACATTTGTCCGTTAAAGTTACGGAAACAGCTATTAAAGAAAATTAATATCAATTGCATAAAAGCTATATGCGAATGTAGTTTAAACATACTCAAAGGAAACGTTCCATTGTCAGAGCAACAAAAGAAGTCTCTCTGTAAGCATAAAACAACTTTACGAAAATTAGGAAATCGTAAGATTTCTCTTGTGAAGAAACGAAAATTAATTTTACAAAAAGGAGGTTTTCTAAACGTTTTGATTCCTGCTGCTCTCAGTGTTCTTACAGGACTAATCAATGGAGTTCACTAAGAAATATGTGTTAGTTCCAGAAGAGATGATGACAAAGCATACCATTTCTGATAAACAGTTAAGTGAATTGGATAAAGCCATGATGCATATTTTAAACAGTTCAGTTGACGATCGTGAGAAATTAGTGCGTTATTATGAACTTTTACAAAAGAAATTGAACTTAAAGGAATACAATTCACCCTTTAAACCTCCTAAAGACGACTCACAAAATTCTTTAGACGATTCAGCTGAGATGAAGAAAGTGAAAGAGGAAGAAGAAGCCCCCTCATCTGTGACAGACGGCGACAAACAGATGACTGTAACTGATTATTCTACTGTTATCTTAGACAGTGTACCTTTACGAATGAGAAGAAAAGCACAAAATGCATTAGCTATTTTAAAGCGACATCCTGATATTCTTAAGTGGAATGATAAAGGCGAGGTACTTTATCATAAGGAAAAAAATTAAGCATTCAAATATTATAGACTTATTCAATATCCTTTTTACAACCAAAAAGAAAAGATTAATATTCCTATTCCTGCTAAAAACGAATTTTTAAAAGCCTTGACTGAAATCAACATGCCAATGGACTATATCAAAAATGAAAATTTACAGAATCATGATGTTAATATGAAAAAAAAAGTATTGCATGTTAAATCTGTAAAACATATACGTTCTCCACGAAAAATGGGAACCTTATTAAATGAATAAAATTATTATTTTTACATATAGACTCTTTCTTCTCTCTACAATCAATATTTGTTTTACATCGTTTTTAAATGTTATGAAAAACATTCATTTCACCAAGAAGCTTTTACCTTTCAATACATTTATTTTCAAAGAATAAATTTCTGTATTATACATAAAATATACTTGGAATTTTCTTTCATTAGTTAATATCAAATTAACAGCAATATCCATTTACTGACATTTGATATATACACGTTTGCTTTAAAATTAAAACTAAAATTTCAATATATTTCTATTAAAAACATAAGGAAAAAAAAATAGTCATAACATCAACCAAACACAGAAATTTAAATAGAATAGCTGTACTTATATTAATTAATGCATTTTTATAATCTTCATAACATTTCGATTCAAAAAACCTATCACAAAATAAATGAACAATTTTTTTCTGCCTTAAAGAATCTCTTATATTTTTAAAATTAATACATAAAAATATATCTTCACCAATATAATTCATCAACACTTATCGTAATACATTCTTGTCTTGTCTTGTTTGGGAAGGACAGTCTATAAGGCGTCATTATATTATTGCGTTATCATGGTAAGATAGGTTAATGGAAAACTCTGATAATCACTGAAAACTTATTTGAAAGAGTTGTTATTCTTAAGTTTGACATTACTTATACATATATGCATAAGGGTAATCTTAAAAGCATCATCCACTTATCATGATAGAGTAATGGAAAATTTCTAAAACTCTGATAATCATATGTGAAAGAATGTATTATCTTAAGGTTGTTGTTGCTATTCCAAGTTTGACAATACATACAGAAGTGAAGGAAGATCCTTGATAAGCGTTGTAGACTTCACGTTATGATAAGGGTTAATGGAAGTTGAAATCGTATTCGAAAGAAAGGGTTATCATAATGTTGTTGTTGTCCTGGTTCAGATTATACAAATCTGAAATGTTTCGAGAACATTCTTTAATCCCTATAAAAGGTGTTTTCAGAAATGGAAAAAGTCAGTTCTCTTCTCAACCTTGAAAAGAGCAAGTCTTCCTGATTTGATTCACAGAGCTTAATATTTTTTTGCGATGGCTTTTGAACAAGATCACCAATCTGTTTCTTCCAACGTAAGTATTAGAACTGTTATATATTATTTTAATTATTATTTTTTTTTTCAGACTAGATGAACTTTTTAAAATGAATTATAATCAATCTATTTTTAATGCATGATTTATATGTTTGCTTCAAGTATGATTTGAATTAAATAGCCTGCTTTTTACATAGTTTAGAGTTCAAAAAAAAATTTTTTAAAGCATTTGTAAGAGT